GGAATGCCAAAGTGGAGGAGAGGGATTTTTTTCTGTCCCACAGCCTCTGCTGGCAGAGCCCTCAGGGAACACCAGCACTGCTGGATAGTCACAGGCAGCTGGCTCAGAGCACTGAAAAGGGATCAGTGTGTCAAGTGCTATTAAAGAAAGTTATTTCAAAGCTTTGCAAGTCTCCAGCCTGTTGAATCAACAGTTTCTCCACCCTAGTCAAACAACAGGATTAGTGGTGGGATCTCTCCACCTGCCACTCACCCACACGCTCCGGGAGGCCCCAGGGCCACTGCCAGGAGGAAAAAGCCCCTGGGCAAATCATTTCTGTGCTCAAGTGTTCAAAGTGGAGAGAACCCCCCCAGCTCAGCCTCCAGCCCCCCAGCCCCTCCTGCCGGGCAGCAGCAGCTCCAGCCTGGCACAGGGCAGCCTGATCACTGCCTGCTGGGAAAACACATTAGTCTGGATGAATGATTCCTTTGGGGAGCACAAAGGGACAAGGCCCAGGCACTTACATCAGCTCATAATTCCTCCGGATTGTTTCAGGGATGTTTGGCTTTGTAACTCGAACTGCCTGGAAAGAGAGGCCGAGGCAAACGTGGGGCCAGCAGCCACAGCCAGGGCAGCCAAGCCTGGGCTGGGCTCTGCCACACAGAGCTCTGACCTGCTCCACACCCACAGAGCACACCTGGGGCTGACCCTTCTGACAGCACAGGAGACTGTCCCCTGGGCAAACCAGCACCCACAGGGACACCCAGACACACCCAGCACATCACAGCTGGGAGGAGATGGGAAGGAAACTGTTCTCATTCCTCAGATCAAGCACAGCCATGGCCTGGAAGGTTCTGCTCATTTCCTCCTTCTCCCTCCTCACAATCTGCACCCCAACACCTCCAACTGCAACCCCAATTACCTGGATGATCAGGCCAGGGGCCATTGTAGTCAGGTCTTGCTGCAGGGCTAGTTTCAGGTTTTCATCAATCTGATCTGGTTGGGGGAAAACCAAAAGAGAAAGTAACTGCAAAGCCCAGGAGGCAGCTTTGCTGTCAGCACTGCAGCACGGGCTGGGGTGGCTCAGACTGCTCATTCCTGAAGGTGGGAACACGTGCAGCTCTGATGCAGAAGCACCACAGTCCAGCTACACCCTGGCTGATGAGGAACTGCAGCTGTGCCAGCAGGAGACAAGGGAACATGGAAAGGCAGGAATGTGAACTGGCTGCAGTTCTCTCCACAGGCTGCAAAAAATCACCAGTAACATCTGCTGGGCTCAATGGGCAAGCAGAAATTCCAGAAGGAAGCACCAACCCCTGCTCCAGGGACAGTGTTCCCAGGAGGGGCTGTGGGAAGTGCAGAGCAAAAAGGAGAATGTCCTGCCCCTGGAAGCCACCCCATGGCACTGCTGCAGCCTCTGGGTTTGCTCTCTGCAACTCTGGCTCACAGGGAAGCTCAGCCAGGAGCTGATGAAGCAGCTGCTCTGGGTCTCCTGCACCTGCTGGCAGCTGTGGGGGCAGAGAGGACACCAACCTGCTGGACACGCTGTGCCCGCTCCAGACCCAGCCAGAAACATCCAGCCCAAACAAAGAGTCACTGGGGACCTGGGACAAGCTCCTCCTGTGCAAACCAGCAGCTCTGAGCCCCTTTCACAGCTCCCAGCAGCAGCTGCCCAGATCTGGGGGCTCCTTGGGAAAGGAGCAGGACACCCCCCACCAGCCCCATGCAGGAGGGGGGGACTGAGCCCTGGAGTCCCTGCAGGGGCTGCTCGGGGAGGGGAGAGCCCCGTGGGAACAGAGGGCAGGAGGCTGCAGGCACCCTGGGAGCTCCCAAGCACAAATCCTGTCCAGCCTGGGGCCAAAACCACCCCCAGCGACTCCCTGCCCACAGCCAGCGCTGCAGGGAGGTTCTTCCCCATCCACAGCCAGAAACAAAACACCCAGCAACTGCTCCAGCTCTCCCAGAAACCACAGCTCCTGCTCAGATCTCCCACCTGCTGCCCCGTTCCCAGGGAAGGGCTGTCAGCCCTGAGCCCCCCCCCTCCCCCCACCCCCGAACCACCCCCCCAACA